AGCCTGGAGGCTAGAGACAGCAGAGACTATGGGAAGGTGAAAGCTGCCATCCTGCAAGGGGAGGACACCCGCCTGGAGATGCGGCGTCGGCGCTTCAGGCAATTCCGCTACCAGGAGGCCGAGGGGCCCCGGGAGGCTTACAGCCGCCTCCAGGAGCTCTGCCATCGCTGGCTGGAGCCGCAGAACCGCACCAAGGAGCAGATCCTGGAGCTGCTGATCCTGGAGCAGTTCCTGACCATCCTGCCAGAGGAAATGCAGAGCTGGGTCTGGGAACGTGGCCCAGAGAACTGCGCCCAAGCGGTGGCCCTGGCAGAGGGCTTCCAACTGGGGCAGCCAGAGGCTGGATTATGGGAGCAGCAGGTAAGAATATTTTAACTTGATAATCCCAGTGGAGACTGGGTGGGAAGGGAAGAAGATGCCAAATATATAGACAGGCTCCAGATGGGACTGGATGCTCACAGACCAGATTACCGTGCTGTAAACTCAGCATCCAGTCCTCCTCCCTAGAGCAAGCAGAGAGCAAAGGCTGTTTCTATTAGGCGAGGAGTGATGGCTGGATGTAGGAGCTGGTACTGAAGGGAATCAGGGCTGCAAAACTCTCTTTGGGTCACGATCAGAGCTAGAGGAAGCAAGGGATCAGGATACCTTTGAAAGGAGAAGAATAAGAAGGGATATCATAGTGGCATTGAACTGGGATCTTTTATTCGCCCTGTCTCCTATTACACAAATAAGGGGATGGCAAGCCACTAGGCATAAAGCAAAATGTAAAACTTCAAGTCCGTTTCCACCCAACACCATATGCCATTTCAGGCCTAGAATGGAGCAGGGTACAATAAATGGATTGGATATATTTAGGGATAGAAAGACTTTCCAGGATTCTGCTACAAGTTGTACCTCTTTAATCCGGACTTCCCTTGTCCGGCAACATCCGTGGTCCAGCATCCACTGTGACCCCGGGGGTGCTCCGGGGCTGGAGTACTCATGGGGAAAAGCCAGTGGCCCCGGGCTTAGAAACTCTTCCCCTGCCCTCCCAGAGCTTCTGGAGCACCGCAAACAGCTGATTTGCGGCGTTCAAGCTCATGGAGGGAGGGAGAGGAGCAGGGAAAGGGTGGCGCTCAGGGGACGAAGTGGAGCAGCTGTGGAGCCCCGTGGCCGGGGGCAGGAGCGCAGCCTGGGGGCTGGGAGTGCTCCCGGCCCCTGGGCTCCATTGCCGGCTGTGGGGCTCCACTCTGGGCCCCCGGCCAAAGAGCTCTGCAGCTGCCCCGCTTCTCCCCCTGAGCGCCACCCTGTCTCCGCTCCATCAATGCCAGCCCCTCTGCTGCTGCCGGAGCACAGACCCGCGGCCGGCAGCAGCAGAGGGGCCGGCATTGACCTGACCTCCCCTGGTCCGGCAAATTCCCTGGTTCGGGACAGGTCAGGTCCCAAGCGTGCCAGACCAGCAAGGTACGACCTGTAGTATATATCCAACTTCATCTACCTCAGTTGACCTCTAGATACTGGGGCTCAGGAGGGATCTTTCCTGGGGAGAAGATTTTCCCATAGTGATGGGGTCCTTACACTTTTTTCTCAAGCGTCTGGTGCTGGCTACTGTCAGAGATGAGATACTGGGCTAGATGGACCACTGGTCTGATCCAGTCTGGCAGTTCCTGGGCGCCTAATTGCACAAATCTCTGACAATCTGTTTGTTTGACCTAGCAGAACCTGGTTGTGTGGGCGTCACTTCATTTAGCTTATTACTATTCTTATTATTAATTGGCTATTTGACATGGTGCCTCGGGCCCTGCACAGAGTGTGTTCAAGGGGCATCCTCTTTCTTATGCTCCTGTGTTACTGTAAGGGTCTCTGTTTTGTTACTTGCCCTCCACAGTACCCCCTGCTGAGCCTGGAAATCTAGCTTGGGTCTGTGGTCCCTTCCACCATCTCTGTGTTTCCTGAGGACGTTCCCTGACGTCTCCCCTCTCAGACTCCACTCTCCCCTGTGGGTTCCAGGGACCAGCTACACTGTGATGTGTTTGGCTCATCCTCAGGTCACGGTGCGCGTGAAGGTTGAGGAAGTGACTTCGGAGAAGATGGCTTCCCCTGAGGCATTATGGGATGCTCCCGGCTCCCAGCTAGAGCAGTTGCAGCCCCATCATGAATGTGTATCCCAGGAGGAGGTGGGACGAGTTGAGACCCCAGGACACCAGTATGAACCACTCTGTGTCCCCAAAGAGGAGCCCCTGATCCTCCAGGAAATGGATAATAAGTCAGGTATGGGGAAGGCTCGGAGGGGGGCTGAGGGGGCAGCAGAGAGGTGAGCACCCAGGGCTGAACATTTTGGGGGTCTGGGGAGTACTGGCTTGCTTGGGGGTGGGGAGCGATGGAATACGAAACCCCCCTGCCACTTCCAGTGTTGGAGAGAAATACAGGGGATACTCAAAATACAAACTGAAATTTATAGAAAAAGTTTTCAAAACAGATTTTTTTTTCCTTTTTCTGTCCAAATTTTTTAATGAAAAAAATATAAACAAAATATTTCTAATTGAATAATTTCACTGTGATTTTTTTTCTTAAAAAAATGAAGGGGAAAGTGAAAAGTTTTGAATGAAACTGAAACTGTTAATTTTCTTTCCACATTTTCCACATATATCCCTCCCCAAATCTTTGACCAGCAGCATTTCATATGTTGTTAGATGCCAGCTGGGGCAAAGATATCTGGAAGTTTTTAAGAATAAGTTAGATAAAGACGTGTCAGGAATCATTTAGGATCCTTAATCCTGCCTCCGTGCATGGGGATGAACTAGATGGCCTCTTGAGGTCCCTTTCAGCCCTATATTTCTATGATTCTATATGGGGAGTTTTCTCTGACAACTGTGTGGGAATTGGATTATATTCCTGCCTCTACCATGCAGTTCTCTATGATGTTGGGCAAGCCACTTAAATCAAACTTTTCACAGACTTCCCTAACACGGGTCAACTGACTCTAGTCTCTCTCACCTTGGGATTACATTGCAGTGTAGATGTACTCTGGGTGTTCCTCATTTTCTGGGTGCCCAATTGAGAGCCTGGAGTCTGATTTGCAGAAGTGCTGAGCACCCACAAATGTGACTGAGGTCAAAGGGCGCTGTGCTTTGAACAGATATGGTGCTATGTAATACTAAGTAGTCTGAAAAATCAGGTTTTCGGCACCTCGGACTGGGCATGCAAAATTAGAAGACATTTTTGACAATTTTGGCTTTCATCTCTGTGTTTCAGTTCCCCGTGCATAAATCGGATAATAACTCCATATCCCACAGGGTTGTTGTGAAGATAAATTCATTAACGCTGGTAAAGAACTAAGATACTACGATGACAGCAGCATTGAAAAGCCCAGGAGGAATCCGTAATTCTGTATTCAGTGCATGGTTTGAATGGTGTGCAGTCAATAACGCATGCGACCACACGCTCAATGTGGAGGATAAAAAGAGTTATTGAATAGCTGCCATTCAATGAACACAGTCCATCCTGTGCTCTGAATGAGGAAAAAACAGTTTGTGATCATAGAATTAAAGACTATAAAAATGCATATGCACAAGGAAGCTGAAATAAGGTTGCCTGGGCAAGATTAATTCTGGCATTCCCAACCTTTGAGTGTTCATCTTTGCAGCCTTAACAGTGTGTTTACATAGGGGTTTTGAATGTAATATGGAAGTCCCTGGAAAGTCACACACACATTAATCAAGCTCTGTGCTCCAGTCCTCTGCATCTCATTTGCTCCTGCTTCTCTCCCCTTCACCTGGCTCCTCCTTCATTTTCTCCCTTTCCCAAGCCCATATCCCCTGCCATTCACCTCTGCCCCCTCTCCCCTGTTCCTCACTCCTCTTGAGATTTGTGAGAATAATTATGATTTTTAAGAAATCCTGGAACACTGAGCTTTTTTCCAGTCCTCTGGAACTCCCCAGTGTCAAACCAGTATTTAAAAGTCTAAACCTGAGTATCTCTAGGTCAGTTAGCCTGACATCAGTACTGGGGAAGATCACAGAGCAGCCGCTATGGGATGCAGTCAATAAAGAATTAAAGGATGGTAGCATAATTAATGCCAGTGAGTCAGTTTGGTTTTGTGGAAAATAGGTCTTGTCAAATAAACCTGATGTCGCTTTTTGATGAGATCACAAGTTTGGTTGATAAAGGTAACTCTCTTGACATGTAAAAAGCAACAGAGGGTCCTGTGGCACCTTTAAGACTAACAGAAGTATTGGGAGCATAAGCTTTCGTGGGTAAGAACCTCACTTCTTCAGATGCAAGTAATGGAAATTTCCAGAGGCAGGTATAAATCAGTATGGAGATAACGAGGTTAGTTCAATCAGGGAGGGTGAGGTGCTCTGCTAGCAGTTGAGGTGTGAACACCAAGGGAGGAGAAACTGCTTCTGTAGTTGGATAGCCATTCACAGTCTTTGTTTAATCCTGATCTGATGGTGTCAAATTTGCAAATGAACTGGAGCTCAGCAGTTTCTCTTTGGAGTCTGGTCCTGAAGTTTTTTTGCTGTAAGATGGCTACCTTTACATCTGCTATTGTGTGGCCAGGGAGGTTGAAGTGTTCTCCTACAGGTTTTTGTATATTGCCATTCCTGATATCTGACTTTTGTCCATTTATCCTTTTACGTAGTGACTGTCCAGTTTGGCCAATGTACATAGCAGAGGGGCATTGCTGGCACATGATGGCATATATAACATTGGTGGACGTGCAGGTGAATGAGCCGGTGATGTTGTAGCTGATCTGGTTAGGTCCTGTGATAGTGCTGCTGGTGTAGATATGTGGGCAGAGTTGGCATCGAGGTTTGTTGCATGGGTTGGT